CACACACTCCCTCCGCGCCCCCACCTGTCAGCGGCAGCCGCACTGCACAGCCGCCATCTCGGGCCTGGAGGAGACCAGGGTCTGGTGGTTGGAGATCTCCACCACCTGGCGCTCCTCGTAGCGGACAGGCACGCAGCAGGGCGGGCGCGCCAGGGGCAGGCCCTCCTCCTGCAGGCGGACCAGCAGCAGGGCGTGGTTGTTGGCCAGGCCGTCCTGGGGGAGCAGGGGGGCCCGGCAGGCCCCCTGGCAGTTGCCGATGGATATGGCGGAGGGGAAGGTGAGGCCTCTGAACATCCGCAGATCCACCTCCAGGGGGTGCAGCCTGCACCGCCCGTCCCCCTGGCTCTCCGAGCGCCGCTGCCTCTCTGCCTCCCCCTGCTGGTCCCAGAAGGTCAGGACGGTCCGCAGCGCCACCACCAGCAGCAGCGCGCGGTACTGCCTCCCTGTGTCTGCAGGTGAGACAGGTCAGACTCGCACACCTACCCACAGCCTGCTCGGGCTGTTGTTGTCCGATCCCAGCGTCCCAGCTTATCTCCTCCTGCTGTATTCTGGGTTCAGGGAGGTGATCAGGTGCTCAGGTCCCCTGGAAACGGACCAGGCTGCTGCACACCGGGAGGACTGTGTTCTGCCCTGGGACCTGTGTGACTCTACACCTTCGCTGTTGTTCTTCTGCTTGGATCATCCCACTCCTACGTGCTGTATGTGGCCTCCTGCCACCCCCTTCCAAGTGCACAGGTGATTGCGATTACTCAAAAGAGTTACCAGGCAACCGATCGAGCTTAAACGTGAGGCTCGATAAGGATCAATGACATTTCTGGAACAAACTTCCAGCGGCTCTGTCACCCTGCAGCTCCCAGCTGGCGGCCCCACTGGAGCCCAGCAGGTGTGAGCCTGGCCAGTACCTGGAGGGGAGACTCCTGGGAAAAACTAAGGCTGCTGCTGGAAGAGGTGTGAGTGGGGCCAGCAGGGGGCGCTCACCCAGTCTGTGTGGGTCCTAATGCCCCAGTATAGTGGCAGGGACACTATACTGTAGAGGGCGCCCTCTCTTGGATGAGACATTAAACAGAGATCATTAAAGATCCCCTTGCATTTCCCGATAAGAGTAGGGAGTTACCCCAGTGTTCAGGCCAAATTTCCCCCCCTCGGCCTGTACCGTGGCCTCCAAACTGTCCCCATGCAGGAGTGGCTTGCACTTGCCCTGTGACTGACTGGCGTCCTGTCCAGGGTGTACCCTGCCTTGTGCTCGTTGCTTGCCGGGTAGGCTCCGGCTTCACCGAGACACTAGTCTAGCGAATAACATGACTTCCCAGGCAGGTGTGTCCGAGAGAATTTCCCACGTTCTAGTGTGCGGATGTGTGCGGACGGGCTGGCACTAACCTGGCGCTGCTGCGGCGCCCTCCCCTGGCAGCGCGCTG